AACTGAGAATTAAATTCTATTGAATCTTTTAAATAAACTTTAACAGAATATATCATGATGTTATCTTTGTCCTTCAATTATCTTTGCCCTGTTGTCTTTTATCATTTCAAAACAATTCGAGCACCAAATAATGGCCCTTTTCTAATTTGTAATTTTAAAAAATGTCCTCATGTATTGCTTTTTCACTTCACAGAAGATTTTGATTGCACAGTTTCTGGAATCAGCCTTTTATTATCCTAACAGTTATTCCAAATGTTCTTTATTCCCCCTCATCCCAGCACCATTTTTAAGCCCAATACTATATATCAATCCTTTTGGTTATGAAAGCTTTATCGTGGTTTCTTAATACAGTATATATCATCAAAATGCTGGACGTTGGTTCACAGGCATTTACCATGTGCGCTAACAACTGTTCTCATCTCTTGCCATTGTCTTCTTCTAAACAGAGGCTAACATGTTTCTTTTACTTCAGATGAACTTTCAGTCCTAAACATGCTCCATCTTGTTCAATAGATTGTCATCTGTATTCCCTTAAAAAGCAATGCCTCCTTCATGTGTCTAATAAAGAATATCATAAAGAGTGAGTATTCTTTACTATTCTAAGTCAGAAATTAAATTTTCTTCTTTCGGTTATGGTATCCTAAGTGCACGTATATTATTTATTACATGCCACTTTCTTATAGTGAAGACCTTTATGCTTGTTTAACCACCTTTCAAGTTGTGTATTTTAGTGAAAAGTTCAGGGAAATCGCACTGTCAATCTAGAAATCTAGGGAATGTTTATACCTTCGAACGTTGCAGTATATATTGCCACGCATATTATTTCATCTGACTCCTAAGAATTGCGTGAGTTGGGGTTGCAGACCATGTTTTCACTGGGTAGGAAGCCGAAGCTTTAGTGCATTGCGCTATTTAAGACGACAGACTTCAGAGTCTGGAGGACCAGAGTTTGAATTATTACCACAACGTTTACAACTGTGTGGCTTTGGGTAAATTACTAATATCTTTAAAACTAAACTGCCTCATAAAATGGGACAGTAATACTACATGATATACCGCGTGAAACGGTGATAGCATCTAAAGTGGGTTGCTTGCCACATACAAGCATTTAATAAATAGCAAATTTTAAGGGAATGGCTCAAGATGTACTATTGGAACAGCTTGCAAAGGACCTGAAACCGAGATGTGAGACTTCAAAGTCTGGGCTTTTCTAATACCCAACTTCCTAGCATGCCGAGTTAATTAAACTACTAACTTGACAGATGACCTTGAACGAAACACTTCACCCAGTCAGTTTGCTCATCTATAAACCCAAGAACTTAATTGACATCATCTCCGTGGTCCTTTCTGTGCGTCCCAGCTCCTGGCAGGTAGTTCCCGCCTCTAGTGTTCTGAGGTTCAGGTCTGGTTCGTGACAGAGCCAAGATCTGCATAAGCCAAAGCGGCGCACAGCGCTCGGAATTTCATTTCTACATTCGTGTCTCGTTCAGTGTTTAGTTTTGGGGACGCACTCGCGGCTCAGCTGTTGCCTGTCTGTAGTCCGCCTACCGGCACCTTGGGAAGGAGAGAGACCCACATCTTTATTTATACCCTGGCTTGTTCCCTGGAGGGCTTAAGGCGGCGAGTGACACGCAAAGTCCCCTGACGGTGTCACACGGTGCGATGAAGAAATCCTCGCTCGGGAAATCTACCGGTAGGAAATCGCCTGGGAGCGAGATGCTAATCAGCGCCGCCCCGCTCGCCGAACTCTTCTTACAAAACTCCCGCTGCTGGGTAGAAGTGGCGGAGGTGTGCGGCTCGGGTCTGCCCCCGGCCCGGGGTGCCACCCGCCGCCCCGGGTCACTCCAATGTCCTTCTCCGAGCAGCCAAAACTGTCGCGCTCGGGTCCCAGCTGGACCAGGTTCCCGCCGCGCCGGCCCGCGCCTCTCAGCCCGCAAGTGTCCTGATTGGGAAGGGGCCCGGGAACCTTTCCCACGGCCCCGTCTCATTGGCTGCCGCGGCTGTCAGTAACCTCGGCTCCCGCCCTCCCGCCCCGCGCGCTCCGCGGCCCCGGAGTTTCGGCGGCGAGCCGCTTACGTTCGCCCGAGCCGCGCGGCCCGGGCCGGCGACCTTTCCCCTCCGCTCTCCCCGGC